TGGTCCATCGGTCTTAAGGGACGTGACATAGGGACAACAGGAAGAGCGACACTCTAGCTTGTTTGTAACGTTACCGCCAATGACTTACGTAATTACTTACGATACTGGCAGCACAGGTACTAGCTTAAAGCCAACCAACGTGTTTCGCTGATATTCCGCCGATGCAGCGCATAGTTGTGAACAGTTAATCAATCTCAGATATTCGGTTTAATTCATTAGAGGCTGGTGAGGAGAATGACGGTTTGTAATGTCCTCATGGTACAACCGGTTATCATTGGAGACGGAAGAAACAGTTTCATCTTGCTAACCTAATCCTAATGACAGTTCAACGAAACGCTGCAGAGGTTTGCAAATAAGTTCATATTCAACCTAGTACTGCCATAATACAAGCAAAATATCCGTGGCAAAGATGCAATCTGGCCGTTGTCGTTTCTACTTTTCCGCGCAAACTAGGCAATGAAGCGAAATTCTACGTCAACTATTTGCAATATGATAGAGGCAAGCTTTGGGAGTAAGACTTATCAGAAACTCGTATCGAAAAGAAGCTTAAAAACAGCGACGAACGGATATGCGCCGTACTCAGATAACGAGAGGAAAAAAATCTTGTCAACGAGAGCTTATGGGCGGGATAGATTAAACTGACAGATAACTGTTTTCAGGAAGCAACAGTTACAATAACATTTACGTTATTTGTTTGTTGAAATACGCCAATAACGCTTACAATGCAAGCGCGCAATTTGAAATACTAAAAATTAAGAGCTTTAAATTAACGGAAAGATACAAATCGAGGGCATATACTACATAGGCGAACAGATCTCAAGTTTCGACGACCAATCACATTGAAGGAGGATGCAAGAAGAAAATACCGGTAAATCTGGTTCTCGTGATGGCCGCAAGTAAAGATATAATTTAAGTTGAGAAGGTGTATAACCTAACACCAACCCTAAACCTATGGATAAAGTCCGCACCTAACTCTAGACCCCTTAATCCTAGACTTATTTTAACCCTAGCTAACAGTATCTTCTAACACCAAATCTTTAGCCGACCGATAAGCCTAATTGTTACAATTAAGATAGGGGTGTCGGTAAAGGAGCGAAGACGGGGTTTAACCTAAGCTTAAATAACTAAAAAAGCCGGCATTTCTTCGGAGTAAAAACTAGGTGAGGCTACACATCTGATTGTCACCAAAAGATTACTGTTTTGGTTTCCAAATTCACGTCGCGCGGCTTTCGAATTTGAGCAGCCCATTTTTTGCTCTACATTCACGTGGGAATTTATTATTGTA